TGCAAATAACATCGCAGATAAATAGGATCCATGATGTATCACTACGCATAGGAGTTCTACTGTTGTGGGGTTTTACCTGCCTTTTTATCAGGACAATAAATTAAAAACACCTACAAAAATTCTGCTATTATATCCCATGGAATATAAATGATCTCTGAATACACATTCAAAGAGCTAATTGAGAGTAAATCTATTCCGTCATGTGTAGTTTTACTTGGAGGTTTTCGTGTCTAGCTGGTTCGTTGGGTAAAGATCCTCCTCCGACACTTGCAATAAACATTACACATCTCTCTGAATCACCTGTCATGTGTATTTAAGCTCAATTAAACCCATTGAGAGCTTAAATGGCTGAACTCATCTGTACGGATTAAGTGATTGGAACAACAAATGGGAGTCATTTCAATGAATGGAGAGAATGCTTTCCATTTCAGCTTTCGTTAAGGCACATGCGAGATTACAGTGAAGAAAAAAAACCCCTCAGGGTAATTAACTGACTGTAAAATAGAAAACTGCATTTTAACCATGCTTGCTATGTAAAATTTAACAAGGCGTCAATTGCATATAATTGCTGGAAATAAATTAGGCGTTTGTGTTTACTGTCATTAAGTGTTACACTACTGTATAAACATGCTGTATAGTAGATATTGCCTATTATAAATCAAGTAGCTTCAGAGAATACACGCTTAATGAGAAATTAACATGGCAATACAATTTATCGCTGATGAACGTGTTCAAATGCCACTACACTAATTGACACGCTACATCAATTACACTCGTTGTTATGTTCTCTGTGGCACGTAATTCATTACACGAGAAAGGCGTTTCTCAAAAGGTGGCCTCGTGACCTCATGGGGATCATGAAGGAAAAATGGGGGTTTGGGTGGGAGGCAGTCTCCGTTTGTCTATCAACTTCTTTTCTGCTGGTCCTCCGGTCTTTCCCTCCACATTTAGAAACATGCGTTTTAGAGTGTTTCGATTAGTTTTGCTGCTATAAATGTCCAAATGATAAGCCACTTTGTTGAGCTATCATTAGTGGCCAGGTCGCTTTTGAAAAAGAAATTCATACCGCAGTGGGCTTTGTATGGTAGGATGGGGATGTTTGGTTTCATTTGTATGTGTTTGGGTGATTTGTTTTAATTTATTGTGCTTTGCACGATTATCGTGTTTTTCTATTGTTTGTTGTTCTAACGTTCTTACCCGCCCCTACTGGACATCTGTGAAGAAACGCTTTATAGCTCATCGGATTCCTCCAGTATAAATATTATGATTCTGATGTACTACAGTACATTGTGTAGATTGCGGTGGTATATCAGTGGCGTAGTAAGCTCAGGGGGGTGCGGCAATCGGTAAGATGGGCCCCCAATATTTGATTTGTCTCGTAAGGGTCGCACCTTGGCTATTATATATCGCGGCTCCTCTTGCCTAATCACATCAATGCGCTCACGGTCTCGAACATTTAACGCTGTTGGGGCGCTCCGTCTTCGCAAAATGTAGCCACTCCAGCCACGGAGTACCTCTTTGCAATGTAATTGACGCATATCCAACGAAATAAATATCGCAGAAACCGAATGTTCTTTTGCCAAAGTGACTGTCATTCAAAGCAAATTATGTTTCGTTACGTTAAATCATGTTTAGAAACGTTTAGAAATCTATAACTTGACGTACTACATATCTAGTTACATAAGTGTTACACTAACATATACAGTAGCTAATTAATGTAAAACAAGAATACCCTTGCACAACATTGTTTTTTCTCTAAAATAAACAATAGGGCTATCCTTTAGGAATTCATGATTTAGAATTATTACACCATAGCTCCTACAAACGCTTTCAATGGAAACGCTCGTCTCGAACATGTAACTTTAACATGTCCTATGCTTGCTTTGGATCAACATAACTATCTTTGAAAATAAAGAATTAATTATATTGTTAACTCTTCGCAAAGGCGACTCCGAAGTTACGGCTCCATTCTTCTTGCTTTTGCGTTGGCAAACTTGGAGATGCCATTCCCCAAATTGACGGCCTCAACTTTGTTTCCCTCTTGGTGATTGTCAAGATGGGGGGCCCAACTCGTAGCTTTGGCCACCAGTTGGGTGGGGGGGGGGGTAAGGCACCTCATGCCCTCACGCTCGTTACACTACTTGGGTGGTTTTCGTGCTGGTGGTGAAGGTGATTGCGATGTGCTGCTGATGGTAGTGGTGGAGTTTCTGGTGAGGCTGAACGATGCCCGAGTGCGGTCAAGGAATGGCTCCCAATTGGTTAACCATGTTATGTATGCCAATGATCTGGTAATTACTGCTCACTCAAGAGGATTTGGAGGCACTGCTGGTGAACCTGCAGCGTGCCACTAAGAGGCAGGGCCTTACCATCAGCCCCATGAAAACTAAGCACCTGCCTAGGTATTTGTACCATCAGACACTCCAACTCCCACAAATCCCAATTGGTGATAAAACAGTTGTGGAGAGAGTGGAGAGTTTCCCGTACCTGGGCAGTGTGCTCATGACTGGCTCCGATTTGACAGCAAAGATCTCACTTCGGTTGCGTAATGCTGTGTGGAAGCTACCTGGTCTGTCGCTCCACACGAAGCTTCGGATCTTCTCGGCCAGTCATGCCTTCCCTTCTCTATGCTTGCGAAACGTGGACCCCGTAATTGAACATCTTCGTCAGTTATAAACATTGAGGCTGGCTTGTTTATGATCCATCCAGGGTTCAACCAGGCTGAATTGTGTGAGGAGCTCACAAATCCTTTAAATATCTGGAAAAAGTCCCATCGGTGAGCTTCTCCAGCAGGCAAGGCTGCGTTGGCTGGGTCATGTAGCCCGCATGCCCAGCCACCGCATGCCTAAACAGCTTTTGTTCGGCCGGATAGAGGGGGCTAAACGGGCACGGCACGGGCTAGAGAAGAGATGGAGTGATGTGGTACAGGAGGACGTGGACCTGAGTGGACTTGCTGATGAGTGGTACCAGCGGTGTCAAGATCGGCCGCTGTGGAGGAGGCTCGTGAAGGACGCTGCTGGGCAGTGGGAGGCAGTCGCCCTCAAACAACGGTGGGCAGAGGAGCGACGCTCACAACAACGAGCAGAGCACCAGGCGGCTATAACACAGCAAGTTGGCACAGTAGTGGGCACAGGTGGTGCATCAGCCAGTCATCTCAGTCAGTCGACCCGTGGCACCTGGGTCTACCCCATGACCTCCTGCCAGAGGGCGTTCAACACTTCACGTGGCCTCAACGTGCACATAGCCTGGCACAAGCGTCGTGGTGACATCACTGGCACTTAATGGCGAATGGCAGTTGTTGTTGAGTTCCTGGTGGTGGTGCGGAAGATGGTGGCAATGTAGATGTTGCAATGCAGGTAGCAGGTGCGATGATGGTTGGAGGTTGATATTATGGTGGTGTTACAAATGTTGGTTGTGGTGACATTCATGGTGGCAGTTTTGCAGGTGGGCGATGAAATGTTAGAAGTAGCCGTAGGCCCATCTCGTGCAGGAAGTGGGGCAAAAGGATTTTGGGGGTCACCACCCTCGTCTAAAAGTTGGGGGGCTATCTACCCACCTCCCTCCTATTCCGTTCCAACGCCCCTGGCATGTATTTCCATTGCCCCACAACACAGGACGGCTTAACTGCTACGCCCTCCTGTGACACACCCTAAAAGGAGAAAAAGCTCCAGATGACTTATGGCTGGGAATGTCAATCAGGCAGGTTGGAGCACGAAGAGAGCTCCAGGCTTTGCTCCAGCAGGCTGCACGAAGGGTGAATGCAGTGCATTGACAGAACAGGAGCAGACAAATTGGGCTTGTGGTGTAGGAGGGGCAAGGTGTGTCGTTCACAGGTATGTTCGGCTCTGCCTTCTCTTGTTCACTGTGAAGCCAGGAAAATGCACGTGCAAATCCAAGTCACCGGTAAAACAGAGCACATCGAACACGACACATTAGAATCCAAATGAGTCATGTTTTACACGAGTTAAAATACTCAATTTTCAATACAATTTAGAAAGTCGATACTGTATGCCAAGGCTTGTTGTGGAAACGCTGACAAAATGATCATTGAAATCATGGTCGAGGCTTAAAATGTTATTTTTTAAGTTTAACATTTCTTGATTTCCAAGGATTTAACTATAACCCATACACATTATACTGCAGACAAATGTAATTCAGATGCTTTGTGCATATAACCCAAAAAAACTGGAAATCATCCAGTGTGGCCTGCTTATGGCAAAACCTACTTTAATAAATTCAACTTCATTTTCAGAACTTTTACCTTGAAGAAGTTGTCACGATAGTCGTAATAAGTGCAAGTTCCCACAAAAACAAATTCTGGTCACCTTTGCAGCCAACAATGTTTCCATTCACACTTTATATCTGGTAAAATTATTAGCATTAAATACAAAAACAGCATTCAGTTGCTAATTTCCCAAATAGAATAGGCTTACGTGTAATACGTATTACTGCTGTGCATTATAACTTGACCACAAAACGCACATGACCTGAAAAAGCTAAGGTTTTAAGTTACCTGAATTTTTACTCAAGAAGGTTAAATCAGTCTGCCTAATAAACCTAATTAGTTTTCAACGAAAAACAGCATGTCTGCTACAATGAAACGTACACCATGTAATTTGGTAATACAGCTTGTTTGCTTTGTAATTAGCAAGACTTGAAGCAGCTCGCCACTTATAAGACAGTATATATTGCAGCAACACAGATGTTTAAAAATGTAGTTTGTGCATATTGAAATAACTGGCATTTTACAAAATGACTGGTGAAACTCATCCCTGATCACCAAAATGCCTTACAGTACTTTAAAGGAAGCAGTGCCTCCTGGGAATTTATTTATTCTATACAGTACTAGAATTTTTAATTTAGCCACTTTTTTTAAAAAGTACTGCAAATAAAACACTAAAATGCATTAATTGCATTTTTATATAGAATTATGAATCATGCAAATAGGTAGTTAAATTAATATTTTGTTCGGCATTCTAAATAAATGAGGCCACTCACAGATATGCCACAGAGCCATTTATTATTGTCCCACTACATGTTTGTGAAGCAACAGTTTGCCAAGCCATGTTACTGAAGGTCAAGCAGGAGCCACTCTGCCGCTTAGTTCCCAAAAACTGCACACAGCACACACCACAACAGCTCAAACACTGCAGACAACGAAGCCTTGCAGTCAAGGAAACCGCATCGAGAAAGCCTTAACTACTCTGGAGCTGGAATCACGATCTTTAGCTTGCCCTAGCAGGCAGCACAAGTCTACAGTCATGCCTGCTGCAATGTCAAATGCGTAACTGCACAGGACGAAAAGGGATAGGGGAATCTAATACTTTAATCAAGGGGTACCCCCCCCCCCCCAGTCTACAACACCCCCCCCCCCAAACCCACCAATCCCTCTACCCAAGACTGGCCTATTTTACTTGCCGAAAGCATTTGAATATTACTTGAATGCACATTTTTAAATATTTAAAAAACCATTACAGACCATTAATGACCAAATATATGCTCTGTGTAACAAAGAGAATAACACAAAACAGACCAATTGACTGTCTTCTTACAGTGTTTAACTAATTTTATTGTTTTAATTTTACCATCACAAACAACAAATCCACTTAGTAAAATGAATGCACTGCAGGATATCAGAAACAGGCTAACTTTTTTTTTAAACAAAATATTTAAGGAAATTCCCACATTTAATCAAATGAAAAAAACTGCTAAGGCAAAAGATCGTGTATACTGTTACATGCAGAGAATAACTTTTTGGGGAATGTCTCACCATTCATCAAGTAGCTACGGCCTACCGTGGCGAGAAAAGCAGAGCACTTAAACTGGATGTTGTACAGTGTAAGCACGTACAGTTAAATCGTAATTGGCTACATCCTACTGCCTAAATGTGATGTGTACAGTAGTTGTTACAGGTGGCAGTGATTTACCCACAGTGAATTGCCGACTTTTTTAATGGGGTGGACATAGTGAATAACACTTGTATGCAGTAGCTAACAGAGGAAGTGATTAAACCATTTAAATATGCAAAAAAGAAAAATATTTGCCAGAACCATGAATATTCAACACTAGAATTCATCAACAAAGCCAATCTTACTCAAGGTGTGCCAAGTAATGTTGAAGTTTATAAATTGACATGCTTGTGTATAAATTGAGCTAATGTGCAAGATGCATTATCACAAAACAACGAACAGGGGACTCCATTCCAAGCTAGATCTTTTCTTAAATCAAGATTTTTTTTTGGCCAACATTGTATGCACACCTGGAAAACCAGGAGACATTTTACCAATTGACAATGCTTCGAATGTAGCTAAAAATCAAATTTATCTTTGCCAGGTATTTTTTTTTCACTTTTTTAGCTTGTGGAATGACTGTTGCATCTAACAGCTGGTGAAAGGAACAAAACAAATGTTGACAATACCACCAAGCAGAGGAATGTGGGTTGCCTGTAAATGGCTGGTGAAATCCTGTGTGCCCCTCACAACCCCCGTTAAGCCCCTGCGTAGGTAGTGACAGTGAAGTGTGAGACTGCCCTGCCTAATTATTCTTCTCCTCCTCCGGCTCGTCATCCTGCTGCCGGTCGCTGGTCCACAGCGTTAGGTTGTCGCGCAGAAGCTGCATGATGAGCGTGGAGTCCTTGTAGGAATCTTCGTTGAGGGAATCAAGCTCGGCGATGGAGTCGTCGAAGGCCGTCTTGGCCAGCTCGCAGGCTTGCTCAGGCGCGTTCTGGATCTCATAGTAAAAGACGGAGAAGTTGAGGGCCAGACCCAGGCGGATGGGATGCGTGGGCTGCATATGCTCCTTGCAGATCTCATAGGCCTCCTTGTAGGCCTTCTCGGAGTTGAGGACAACACCATCGCGCTTGTCACCCGCCGCCACTTCCGCAAGGTAGCGGAAGTAGTCGCCTTTCATTTTCAGGTAGAAGACCTTACTTTCTTGCTGGGAATCATCACAACTCTTCACGAGAAACTTGTCCAACAGGTCAAGAACATCCTAATAAAAAACATAAGCCCAAAGGTCAAAGATAAATTGGCAGTACAATTACATGATCATTAATACCCACATCCAGTGTTGTATTGCACCGAACATACATGGGAGACCTATATGCTCCTAAAATTGTTAAAATTTCCATAAACAAATAAACAAGCGATCATAAACTAAACCAGCATTTCTGCAATGTAAATTTTTTTCCAATTCAAAATAATGCTTTGTAAAATGTATACATTTGATTGCAGAAGCATCTACAACCATTGTACATTTTTCCACAAAATAAAAATGCCTTCCAAAATTAAGCCATTTCTCATGAATTTCCCCAACTATGCGGCAAATCTGTATTCGTTATTAGAATGTAAGCAGATTATTTTCTTGGCAATTATCCCACAAAAATAATGCCCGAACGAAGGCAAGTTCAGACATTGCACAGTACTCCACCACACAATAGACATAGCAATCAATGCCTAGATCTTATGTGTTTTAACAGGTACAAGTCTGAGCACTGCGGTCAAAAAAGTTTTCCTCACCTGGCAAACAGTCTCCAGCTCCTTCTCTACCTTCTCGCGGTAAGCTTTCACCATGGCCTGCTTCTTCTCGCTCCCATCACCGGCCGTCTTTTGCTCGATACTGGAGATGACACGCCAGGCCGAGCGCCGCGCTCCCACCACGTTTTTGTAGGCCACGGACAACAGGTTCCGCTCCTCGTTGGACAGCGGCTCATTGAGCTCGGTCACCTGGAGGGCACATGGGTGGGCAAGCAAATCCATTTAATAACGCATTCAACGTGTAATATAACTAAAAGCCGTATCTGTAAACTAGTAGCCCTGATTTACAAAAAAGTGACATGTGAAATACTCAATACTACCTTACTGGAACACCACGAATAGACCACAATCCTATACTCTTAAGCCAGTATTATACATATCCTCACAAATTTGTTTAGCACAGCGATGATTAAAAGCTCATGTGTTTTACACTATTTTGGTTGCAGTATTAGCGGCTTTATTAATAGTCCCCCACTTAGAGCCCACCTCCAAAAAACATTCTCGTTAAACTAAAGCTCAACACTAGCATACCACAACCGCCACTTGTGCAACAAATCAGGGCACTTTCGGCCATTTCACAAAGGCGTGTCAAAAACTGCATCACCAAGGGGGGGGGGGGCAAGGGTCTCTTGCAAAGAGCACATTTTATTACCAAACCCATAAGTACAATGGAGGGTTAGCATCGCCGGAAACATCACAGGGACATCGCGAAACGACAAAAGGGTTTATCCACAATGTAAAATGTATTTCCCCTTTAAAACGAGAGGACGGTTATTTGGCGACACGAGGTGATCGATATCCCATTAGTATTACCACGCTCCACTACCTGCGGTGACAATTTCTGCGTGCAATAAACGGCTCAACTTCCCTTTGGTGGATTTTATTTTCACACAAACGACAACCGTGTGACATGTGCCTGCACGACCAATTAGAATGTAAGTTTCCGTGGGCATGTCGGGTTTGCTGCGATATTTCCACTTTTTGCAATTTAGCATAACGCCCGGGAGGCATGTAATTGTAGCCATGCCTGTGCAACCACCAAATATGCAGGGACCGCAAACCTAAAAAGGGAAAACCAAGCGGGCCATATGCACTAAACAGCGGTCTCATTAGGCTGTCTGCAGCTGTGCAGCTTGGGTATCGAGGGCCATGCCCGCCATTGCATCAGCTCATTGGCTTAACGTGTTACCACCAGCAGCATATCCCATCGGGACAGGAAGGCAGAGTGACAAAAAACAACCCAATATCGCACGGGGCAATCGTAGTAAGCCGCCCCTTTAAAAGGGACGTACATTAAACAGCACTTGGGGCGGCGGGCGATGATAAAACATTCCAACAAATCAGTGTTAAACGTACAAATGTGGGATTTTTGTCCCCCATAATTCGCAGGCGTTCCCTCCCTCCTGATGTCATCGGGTCTTTAAAGTCTTTCCCCGTCGCGACCAACAATCTCGAGAACGAACGAGAGGGAGTGAGGGCGCCATTTGCGGGAGGACGTCCCCGCAGACATCGTGCGGGGCAGGGATCCAACCTCTGCCTCCGTGCACAGCGGCACATGGCCGATGGCACCAAAAACCACGCCAAAAGCCTTGACACCCATCTACACACACAACACGAGCTTCCTCGTCGTGTGCGGAGCGCCTCCCAATCCGTAAGACCACGGTCGCATTTGCACGAAAGGCTGAGACCGCGTGTAACAAACAAACCTCAGTGTCCTGTGGATTTGTGCAACAAAAAATTCGTGGGATTGGTGGTGGCGGTGGAAATGCGGCACCCACCCACAAACCCACGTGTGTGTGTGCAGTAACCTCGGCATGTAGAGCTAAAACAACGTTTAAATCATCACCCTCCATCGCTATTACCCCACCAATCAGACAAAACCCTCTTAATTATGTTATGAAGGACGCGAGGCAACGCTACTTAGCGAGATGACGAGGAAGTTGAATAATGGAGGCTGCCCGCCCGCCCGCTCGCCATTTACAGCCACCGCGCCTCGTCTGCCAAACCCGTCGCGCGACGACGAAAGCCGTTTAAAATGCGGGTCTCGACACACAACAACAACAAAAATTCGGGGCAATACAAAAAACGGCCACCAACGGCCTCAAGCAAACAACCAACAAACAAAACGAACGCGGCCCGAGGTTTACACAAAACTCGAGGCGAAAGGCGGCGCCGCCGCCGCCTCCATTGTTGCCAATGGAGGCGACAACGCCCAGGCGACGATGGCTGCTGCTGTGGTCGTCGTGGTGGTGGTCGTGGCGGCAACGACTCCACCTTTTAAAAGGACAGAGAGCGTCGTCGTCGTCCTTACGAAACAAACACGGCCACGAAACGACGGCCGCCACCAAAAAAAAACAACGACAGTCGCAACACCGCGGGGCGAAAACCGGAGATGTGAACATCTTCCATTCGCCACGTTTGATCGAGAAGAACACCTCAACAACAACCTTCTCCTCTACCACAACACCACCACCACCCCAACACGGGAGACACTCACCGCCTTCATCGCGGCCGCCATGTCATCGTAGCGCTCCGCCTGCTCGGCAAGTCGGGCCTTCTGCACCAGCAGCTCACGGTCGGCCATCTTACGCGTCTTGCTTTATTTTATTATTTTCGTTTAAATCGCTAAGGCTATTTTTTTTTTCAAGGGGGGTTTTTGTTACCTCCTCGGAGAAAAAAAAACAACTTTAGGATTCAATTACTCGAGCCTTCACCGATGATCGTTAACGGTTGTCTTAATTTTTTTCTCTCTCTCTTGTCTAATCTCTCGCAACTGTCGAGCTATAAACTCCTGCAGACGATTGCGGTACCGCGGCTGGTCGCTGGAGAGGAAGAGGGGAGCGCGGCGCGCGCGTTCAGACTCCGCTGGCGCGAGCGCAGGGCGCGAGCCACGGGAAATAGCGACCACGCCCCCTGTCGACTGACCACGCCCCCTTTCCACCGTGGCCACGCCCACTATTCACCACGGCCACGCCCACTATTCAACACGACCACGCCCACTATTCAACGTGGCCCCGCCCACTATCCACCCCATCCACCGCAGCCCCGCCCCCATCCACCGATACCCCGCCCCTTGAGCATGCGCACAAAGCGTCGTCCCCCGATCCTATCCCCCCCCCTACCTCATAACCTCCTCCCCCCCTCCCCCCAGCGAGCCCCTCCTCCGATGCGCTTTCCGCCCTCGGGGCCCCGCTTGAACGCGCATGCGCAATGGTTGCGCCCTCGGTCAACGGGTTCTCCCTCCCTCCGTCTCCCTCCGTCTACGCACCCCACCCCCCACACCAGCCCCGCCCTCTATGCGCTTTCTGTTGAGGGGCCCCCACCCCCCGCCTCACCCTCCCCCGGAGCGGATGGGCAACGTCGGCGCAACACGATTGGCTCACGACGATTTTGGTCACGTGAGCGTTGAGGGCTCAGCCCTCATTGGCTAGGGCGACATTGAGCGGGAATGGTAAAGTGTTGGTGGGGGGGGGAAGCCGAGTCAGGATTTGGACGCCGGCGGCTCTCATTGGTCGTCGCCGGTCACGTGCTGGGGGGTGGGGAGCTCCGGAACGCGCGCGCGCCGGAGGGGCCTCGCCCCCCCGCGCTTTGCTTGCCGCAATGAAGGGGCTGCAACTACGCGAGCCGCGATTGGCTGGTCGCGAGGCACGTGACTTGTTCCCGTGAGAAGCGTTGCGGGTGAATGCGTGGGTGGGGGCGGATGTTGGGCGTGTGTGAGGGGGGGGGTAAGCAGCGGTGGTCGTCACGCCGACCAATGGGAACGCGTCGGATACGGGGGCACGTGACTCGCGCGGGGATCGTTAGAGGCGGGGTGTGGTGACGTCACCACCAGGACGAGCTTACCACGCCACGCAAGGGCGCACGTGGGTGGAGTGGTGGTGGTGGAGTGGTGGTTGGTGGTGGTGGGGTGGTGGTGGGGGGATGGTGATTGGTGGGGTGGTCGTGGTGGGTGGTGGTGGTTGGGGGTGGTGGTTGGGGGTGGTGGTTGGTGGTGGGTGGGGTTGGTGGTGGTGGGTGGGGTTGGTGGTGGTGGGTGGGGTTGGTGGTTGGTGGGTGGGGTTGGTGGTGGTGGTGGGTGGGGTTGGTGGTGGTGGTGGGTGGGGTTGGTGGTGGTGGTGGGTGGGTGGGGTTGGTGGTGGTGGTGGGTGGGGTTGGTGGTGGTGGGTGGCGTTGGTGGTGGTGGGTGGCGTTGGTGGTGGTGGGTGGGTGGGGTTGGTGGTGGGTGGGTGGGGGTGGTGGGTTGGTGGCGGCGGCACGGCTGGGTTAAAGGCGCGGTGTTCCGGGCGGTGTGGGGCATGAAGACGATTGATGAATGCCGCATGACGTCCTCGTTACCCCCCCCCCCCAAAGCATAAACGAATCGTTGCATGGCGCGAAAACTACTACGGGACTTAGAGCAGTGTAGTAACAGTGTCTCTACATTGAGGACAACAACGTACATTAAAGGTGGCATTGTAGAGAGTAAGGACAAGCGCTGACGGTGGTCACGTATAATTATATCCCGATGAATGAGGTTAATAGGATTGTGAGTTAAATTGGTGAAGTTGGGACAGTAGTACCAATGTGTGATGCAGTAGCGACAACTGCCATAATACATTTGCTCACGAATACTATTGTGAACAAAGGACAATTTAGAGGCCACCTAACCACTAGATCGAGTAAGTTTTACCAGCATCGACCGCATGACAATGATGTTAATAAGGTTCTGGAAAGGACTAATGGGTTTCAAACACCATTGGGCTGATAGGCTTTGTAGACTAAATAAGTAATATTTAAAAACACGTTTTTTTTAAACACGCTTTAATGGAATGTACCCTACTAGCAATGGCAGAACTCCACGGCTCCAGGAAGTGGCCCTGAAGCTTTCCATAACGTGGTGATTTACAGCCAACGTGAGTTGAGCGTGGACAATTAGACCCAAGCCAAAACATAACATATAAAAATTAATGCTTTAAAATACTTTATTTATTTAGATAGAATAGGGTATTGTCATCAGTATGACATAAGTATACCAAGTTTGCAGTCTATACCACATTGGGAAGTGGGTTTAAATTGAGTTAGAAGATTTGAGGATACGAAAACAGACTTGAGTTTATAGAAAGCGTGTAAAAAGATCGTTTACATTTTTATTTAACATTTTTATGATAGAATATGGTATTGTTATCAGTATGACATAAGTATACCAAGTTTGCAGTCCATACCACATTGGGAAGTGGGTTAAAATTGAGTTACAAAATTTGAGGAAACAACAACAGACTGAGTTAAATAAAAGCGTGTAAAAAGCATTAAATTAAATCTCAAGCTAGTACAAGTAATTTACTGATTTTTTAAAATGTAATATGAAATGTTCAATACATACTGTATTCAAAGGAAAGGCAAGGTGACATACTTTCAACAATTATTCACTGCAATATGGGGGAATTATTTATTTTCCCAAAATGTTTTGGAGGAACGTGTGCATATTAATGGTGAAATCAATAACCATCTCATTTGCTGACGATGTTTATCGATACTGGAAGAATCGTTCAGAGCGTTCCATTGGGATGAACCACAGAAAAAAACTTTGACAAAAACGGCTGGAAAGCTGGACTCAAATATAATTAAAAAAACAAATGTACAACTTTTGTTGTACAATTGCAACAAGAAGCATGGATGCATGGGGTCACACTGAAAGAGGAACACGTGGATTGGACATCATATGCAGATTCAAGAACCACCAGTCTCCTCTCACCTAACGTACGGGGAGAGCTGGAGTGAGCTGTGCAGGAATTATATCAATTAAAGACGCCAGTCAAGATTGTAGTGGAAGTCATTTATTACACTACCATGAGGTCTTGTCTAGGTTTGGACTACTGCAATTCGCTATTTTTTTGGCCTTTAAAACAGATCAGGAACGGCACCTTCCATTAGCGCAAGCAGCAGCTGCTCGATTATTTTTTTTAAAGTGAACCTGTTACCCCTCTGCTCTGAGATTACACTGGTTAACTGTTAACACATTCCTGCGGAGGGAGCTGGTAGGAACGTTGGGTTGCTCTGTCAATGGCCAGGGTCAACGGCGGCGTGGTGTATTCCGCAAATATGCCCGACTGTGAGGGCGGGCACAAGCCGGCGTGAGTAAGTTAAACGTTGAGTTTTATAAGGGCACCACAGGGTGACCAGCCCCTCCCCACCCAGCCCAACCCCTCCCACCCAGCCCCTCCCCTCCCTCCCCTCTCCACCCAGCCCCACCCCTCCCATTTTTTTATGCACGACGGACGGACACAATAATCCCGTGGGCTGGTGTAACCAGGAGGTTCCTACCAGTATGCATTTAAAGTACTGTCCTCCAATGGTACTGGTTATCACATTCGAGTTACCACACAACCAGAGACCATATTATTTGTATTGTTCAGTCAAAGCAAGTTCTGCAGGTGCTTTGTACGAATATCGGAACTTTGGCTAAAGGTGCGAAAGTTAAGGAAGTCTTGCACTCCCATATTTTTATGATCCAATATTTATTAAAACCATATAGTCCGGTAAACTGCATCCACGAGCTTGGATCAATTCGCGAAAAGACTCAACGATGAATGTGCAATATTGATTAAATAGATTAATAATGCTTACTTTAGAAATATTGCACGTAGTTTGCATTTTTATTTGTACGATAATTGGTTGTTTATTGATGTAGACATTTGGTTCATGTGTTAACCCATGCTCAAGATGTTAAAAACACGAAATTATGATCTTACCTTACTGATGTTAAATTGAACTACAGGAGAAACCCTTTTCCAAGCCCTATTACCCACGATGCTATTCTGCCAATCATCTGCAACTTTTCCAGGATGTCACAGCGGAATAGCTTCCAATTACCCGTACATTATCCATGGAACAAGATGAGTTGAGGAACACATTCTTCCATTATCCATATTGTCCCGGCGGATAAGTGGAGTAAACTGCCTCAAATCGGCCTCTTAGATGCTCTCCTTTATTCCATACTTTAGGTGTAAAGAGTGCAGCATATTATAAACACACCACCAGATGGCAGCGTTATTACGCTGCGCTTAACACATGTCCAGAATATAAAAAAACGTAAAACAAAGATTTTTCCTAGTAAATACAATGATCTATTCTTTTTGGGGCGGATAGTCCACTAGTACAAAAGATTACGTACAATACATTGGAAAAAACATGAAAAATATATGCTTCTTTTCAGTTCTCATTTGTTCTAGTGTCAGCGTTCTTGATTTTCATTATTTGCCATAGCATGCATTGCACACAGAATAAAACACTTTGTTCTCGAGGCATATTTTGACATTTTTTATTCACTACCTAATTAACTATTCCCAAAGGGCCCTAAATCTGCTCTTGCTCACCTGTCCTGCATTCAACAATTGTCCTATACATATTGTTTTCCCCCAATTGCAACTCTTCAATTTTCTTCATGTGTTTAGAAAACTTCCTTTTTGTAACCTTTCTTTCAATTCCACCTGAAGTTCAATTTTGCTGCCTTTATTAGGTTCTTCAGTCATTTCTCCGATTAGCACGGTTGGCTACGTACGTGGCACAAGACGTTCTACATACCTACAGCTCGCATTAATTTCCATTGGTTGACTATCAACGCAGATGCTCAATAATTGTATTATTTGGATATTCAAATTGCGAGTACATGTATATTTAACAATTGGGACTAAAACTTACGAATAGTTTTACCTGCATAAAATACAACAAAACTTTCATAAATGTATACATTTTGTTCAAAGAACAGAAAACAATGAGCCACTTCCTATCCCAGAATTTCGGAGGCAAATCGTCATGGGAAACATGTGCATTTATTGTTTAGATACATGACAATAGTACACTGACCACAATAAGCAAGTGAATTCAACTGCTTCTTTTAACAATGAGAA